ATTATAATTAATTGTGATTCAGTTGTTTTATATCACTTAATTCTATCTATTAATTTAACTTATAATATGAGATTTTTCTGATTGCAGTATTAAAAACAAGGTTGTCAACCCGCGGGTTGACCCGGACCTAATCGAGCTAGTGGATCAAGGGTTAATGGGTCAACCGTTTTAGCTCGGTTTGGCCCGGAAATATAGAAAGAGTCATTATATTGCACGTATCCTCATAAATTATATCAAATCTTATCCAATATATGAGTTATAACATATAATATTACACCAAAATAACATATCATACTTAGATCCAACATATAGTGAAAATTCAGACACACTTATATAACATAAATATTCAAATGTTCAACTTAGTATTCCAAAGATTGAGTTAGGCGAAAAGAAAAATTGGAAAATAGGCGCATTTCGCAAACTAAAGAAAAAAATGACACAATTTGACCTCCAACCTGGTACCTAATAGCGGTCGGCCCGACGGGTGCGTGCGGCCCATTTTTCTCACCGGGTCAGGGTCAAATTGGGTCGACCCGTGGGTCAACCCGCGGGTTGACAACCTTGATTAAAAACAAACAAAATATGGCCCCCGCTTTCTTCTCCATTTGCCCTTATCCCGCGGCAAAATGACACGTCACCACATTGCCGAAAAAAGAATTTAAGGCAATAACATAAAACAAATTCAAGGAAGGAAAAAATCAAGAAATGGGAATGAGGTCACACGCAATACTGTGCGAGAGAGGAGAGGAGAGGAGAGGAGAGAGAGAGGTATTTTAATGGAGGTTGGAGTTAGATTTGGCCTTTGTGTGTTCCGTAGCTGCGTGAGAGAGAATTTCTTGGTCCGGTGGTGAGAGCTTTGTTGTTGTTGCTGCGGCCTGCGGACGGTTTACCTAACATATTCCTCTCGTCCGGAGAGAGATAGTGAGTGCGAAACACAGAGGAGGAGCTGCGCCTGCGTGTTTGTCTGTGTTTGCCTCGGCAATGGGGAATTCGTTCGGTTGCTCCGCCTCCGGCGAGAGGCTGGTGTCGGCGGCGAGGGACGGCGATTTGGTCGAGGCCAAGATGCTCTTGGATTGCAACCCTTGCCTCGCCAAGTACTCCACCTTCGGCGGCCTCAACTCTCCTCTCCATTTCGCCGCAGCTAAAGGCCACAACGAGGTTCGTTCGATTTTTGCGTGTGAATATTCTAGGGCGTGGAAATTTTCCGCCCTTGTTTATCACCTTTGATATCTCCGTCATTTTTCCCCCCGGTTTAGATTGTGGCGTTGCTGCTGGATAATGGCGCCGACGTGAACTCGAGGAATTATTGTGGCCAGGTAGGTACCTTTCTTCTCGTTCTAAGATTCATCTTCTTTGGAGAGGTGATAAGAGTGATCGGATTCGGCTGAATCGAGTTTGCGTGAGATGTGATCGCTTCGGGTGACCTAATTAGGAAATTTGGAAATCCGAATCTTACGAAATGGCAGCAATCGGGAAATCATAATATCGATGAATGGAATCTTTACTCTCTGGGGGCATGTAATGAAGTAGACAATTCAATTCTTGGATATGTATGTTCTTTTTCCGTTTAGCAACAACATTCTTATTGTCGTCTTGTTGTTGCTCTGTTTTTTGAAGACGGCATTGATGCAAGCTTGTAGATATGGACACTGGGAAGTTGTACAGACTCTTCTTCTCTTCCGATGCAATGTAAGAGCTCTCTTCTTGCCTCTCCCCTGATCTGATCTTCCTTCTTGCTACTTTTCCAGTACCATTCATAGCTGGGTTGGAATTTTGTAGGTTACGCGAGCGGATTACCTAAGTGGAAGGACGGCCCTTCATTTCGCAGCTGTAAATGGCCATGCAAGATGTCTGAGACTAGTTGTTGCTGATTTTGTTCCTAGTGCTCCTTTTGTTCTTGCTCGTGATCGGGCAGAAAATGATGCTGGAGGGTCTGCTACTGTAAAGACAAGGTTCGACTAAAACAAATATGTAAAAACTTAGCGTTCACGAGTTCTCTGGTTCAAAATGTGTAATGAATGTGTGCTCCCCATCAAGTTAGAGTGCAACTAGTGCAAGGGAATCTCTCTCTGGGTTTGAGGGTGCTTTCAACTTTACTAGTCTTTGGATTACTCAGTAGTAGTGGACTTACCCAAAAATTCTGATGCAGCGCACTGTCCAAGTTTGTAAATAAGGCTGCGGATGGTGGTATTACTGCTCTTCACATGGCTGCGTTGCATGGTTATTTCGACTGTGTACAGCTTCTACTTGACCTTCATGCAAATGTTTCAGCTGTGACATTTCATTACGGAACAACGATGGATTTAATTGGTATGCTTGTGTCTTTGTCTGGCAGTCATTGCTTCACACATTTCCCTTGGGAAATTTGTCTGACGAGTCACGAGTATATGATTGCAGGAGCTGGGAGTACACCTTTGCATTATGCTGCTTGCGGGGGCAATTTAAAGTGCTGTCAGGTTAATAAAATGCAAGCTTTCAAACGTATGATTGGATCCTGAGAAATGATATAACTGTGTCCCCAATTCTGCAGATCCTTCTAGCAAGAGGTGCCAGTCGGATTTCATTGAATTGCAATGGGTCAGTATCCATTTACTGTGTGTACTGTTTGTTCACCTAGTGCACTTGCTCTGGTCTAAAGCAAGACTGTCTCGCTTTTCAGGTGGCTGCCTGTCGATGTGGCTAGGATGTGGGGCCGTCATTGGCTTGAACCACTGCTGACACCAAATTCGGATTCTATCATCCCACGATTCCCTCAATCGTGTTACTTATCCTTGCCCCTTCTAAGTGTGCTTAACATAGCAAGGTACTACTGCAATTCATTACGTGCATTTGTGTGACATGCATGTTTTACTGATCTTTTTTGAGGAAGTTAGTAAGCCACTTATTTTGACTAATTGTCTATAGAGAGTTCGGGATGCAATATGCGACGTCCTCTGATGATCCAGACGTTTGTGCTGTCTGCCTAGAGAGACACTGTAATGTGACTGCTGAAGGTTTGTTTTTCTCTATTGGTTCTATATCTTTTTCCACTGAGATATTACTGGTTTTGCTGCCTTTTTCTCTGTCTACATTGCATCTCCTTGTATAATAATTCAATTGGCCTCTCTTCCCCTGCAACCTGAGGGGAAGTGTGCTGATCAGATGCTGCCCAGAACAGTGGCATAAGTTCAGAACACAAATGAACAACTATATGGAAGGAATTAAGAAAACAAGCATATACTTTAAGGCAAATAACAAGGGCAAGCTTTGCCTAATAGTCCCTTGTCATAAAAAGGAGTTTTACCTAATAGTTGAGCTTGTTCGCTAAGGATCATCAGAAACACGTCTCGTCTAGAATCACTATTCACTATATACTGGAGGCTGACTGAAATCTGATTTTCTTTTTCTTTGGTCTGATAAGGCTGCTGTTGCATCCTAATATGACAAGGAATGCTCGTCAGTAACGGAGAATGGACAAATTAACAATATCCCGGAGACCAAATGCTCCCATTGTCATTTTCCATTTTAATAAAAGCTTAATACGTCTGTGTGTTTGAAGAATTTTTTATAGCTTCTTAAGTCTTATCTCTCATTCAAAGAATATGGTTTGCTCCTCAGCGGAAAGAAGAAGCTGAGAAGTGTTTAACTGTTGGTCTTAATTACTAAATTCTATGTGTGCAGGTTGTGGGCATGAGCTTTGTGTGAGATGTGCACTTTACCTGTGCTCAACGAGCAACATGCCAACAGAAACAGCTGGCCCACCTGGTTCCATCCCGTGTCCACTCTGCAGAAATGGAATCGTCTCCTTCACCAAATTGCCAGGCTCCCCAGCAAAAGAACTGAAGCAGCTTTCCATGTCACTCGGCCTGTGCACCCCTTGCATGCTTCACCCTCGTGACGACCAGCGAGCAGCGTGTGTACCCGAGATCCGAAAGAACCGCGTGGCTGCAGTAGTATCTTCAGAATACCTCTGCCCAGTCACCTGCAGCCCTTTCCCATCCGTGGCAATGCCGTTGTGCACCTGCAATGACGGCCCTTGCCCTCCGTTCGAACCTGAATCAGCCGACGAATCAACATCCGAATCATCCCCACGTGGCTCGCACGCAGCAGCGCCCAGTGGGGACCAGGATAAACTGGAAGGGACGAGGCTGGAGAAGACGACGTGTTCGAACATGTTTTGGAGCAGAAGAAGCTGCAGTCGCGAGCATCAATGCAACTCTGAAATAAATGCTTGACAACAGAAGAAGGATGCTCTTCTCATTGATTTTGGGGCTTTGGCAGAGGGAGTTTTTTCGAGGATGAAGGTAATATGCTCTATTGCCATTTTTCGGTTTGATATATATATCTGGGGAAGGGGCTTGGGGTGGTTTAAGGTCTGTAGAAAAGGTTTTCTTTAGGAGAACTCGTATATGTGATTCGATGTGACGAAAAATGTGATTTTAGGGTTGCAGACTATTGGCCATTTCCGTCTGTCTGTCCCTCCTCCATCCACCTATTATGTTCAAAATTTTCTTGTTCTTGGCTTTGACAGGTAGGAAAAAGGTTTAGGGAATGAGCAGATATTGGGTGATCTGTTTTTGTTTTCGTTTCTCTATCATTTTAGGTGGGCATTATGTGTCTATATATGTAATTTAATCGCAACCAAACCGCATTTAGGTGTTGAACTAGATGTAAATGTATTGGTATACTCGTGAACAAGAGCCATGCGTGTTGTATCTTATGTACGAAGCCGAGAGTACGAACATGTTTTTAACATTCGAACCGTATTTTAGCTTATGGAATGGATGTGTCGTAATCACAAGCAGAATGGCATATGGGTTTGGTTGGGTGTGAGAGTTGATTATGTGTTGCATCATTTGAAGAAGCAAGACTGGAGAGAGTTCGATCTGACTGGTGCTAACAATTCCCATCTAGTACGTTAGTTGGGAGTTTAGCCATGTCTAAACGCAATGTGTGGTGAAAGCTTCCTGGGCGCACGATGGAGTTTGCTAACAAGAACTTCTTACTTAACTAATCAAATTAATATTGTCACCTCTTAGTTGGATCATGTTTTGGGCTTTAAAGCCTCAGATAGGGCCCAAACAATTGGATCTGCGTGCAGCTGGTAGGCGGAGGCTCCACATTGGAGAACCCATGGGCTTATATGGCCACCCAGGTAGGTCAGTGCAGGGACGCAAACTTGCGGCGGACATTAGCACAAGGCTCCATGGCCCATGCTCAGCTATAGGTACTTATAGGTAGGGATGGCAATGGGTCGGGTTGGGTCGGGTTTTGCCAAACCCAAACCCAAACCCATGGGTTTATCTTTGAAAAAAATCCGGGGTAAAACCCATTGGGTTTGAAAAACTCAAACCCAACCCAACCCGTTGGGTATCCGCGGGTTCATGGATACCCACGGGTTTTGTCGTAAAAAATTTACAATAACAAGTTCTTATCAAAATTAAAGTCAAATATCAATCTCTGTTAGAAACAAAGTTTCTAACGGTTGTAGAATTGGGGAAATAGCTAGACCAACTAGGGATTGATCAAGCTAGGGATTAGAATTAGGGATTTTAGGAAGAAGAGAGGGGAAGGTTGGCTGCCGATCGGCCAAGGAAAGAGGGAGAAAGAGAGAGAGCTCGGCGCTAGGGAGGGAGAGAGAGAGAGAGATTAGGATTTAGGTTTTCTGTAATTGATTGCTTAATGACAAAATAACTCCCTACTGCAGATTATATAATCCGCCAAATGCCTAACTGCTACCCATATAATAAAAATACCCCAAATGATCCCCCAATTATCAAAACCGACAATAATACGAAATAATGAAAAGCTGTAAATTGTTTGTTTCTAACATCCCCGCCTCCTTGGGAAGCAACCTTGTCCTCAAGGTTGCGGCTTCTCTTGCTCTGCTCCGGGTTCCTCCGCCATCTCATCCTCCGCCTCGTCTTCCCATCGTCCCACCAAGAACATCAAGTCAGGCTTCCCGCACTTGTGACCAAAGGTAAACCGCTCGTCACAGTTGAAACACTTCCCTTCTCGCCTCTTCTGCTCGATCTCTGCGGGAGATAGCGTCCTAAATCCCTTGGGTGGTGGCTTCGGCCCCGCTCGAATGACAGCCGAAGGTGGGCCAGCCGCCGCACCCCCTCCCGAACTAGGGCCCGATGTAGCCGCACTCGCTCCGCCGCTCGCGCCGCTACCACTGCCTCCTCCTCCGGCCGGCTTCTGATAGCGGCCTATCACGCCCCGCCAGCTAGCCAGCTCCTCCTCCTTGTTACCTGCAAGACGGAAAACAGCTCGAAGTGAATCGGGCTCAAATACCCGAACAGCCGCTGCAATCTCTGGGCGGAGTCCCGCCATGCACAGACCCACCAATGTCTCCTCCGGTACGCCCTTGCACTGGTTACCCAGTTTGAAGAACTCAGCTCGATACTCCGCCACTGTCCCAGTCTGCCGCAGCTTCGCCAACTGCTCCGGGGCCCACCCTTCCGACTTGCCGAACTGATACCTCAACTCCTCCTTGAACATCGGCCAAGTAATTAGCGTCCGAGCTTCAGCATAGGTCCGCTCCATCCATTCCCACCACTGCAACGCATCCCCCTCTAAATAGAAGGACGCCAACTGAGCCTTTCGTTCCTCTCTAGTGGGATGGTTCTTGAACCACCGTTCTGCGGAGTATATCCACAGACCTGCATCCTCCCTGCCATTGAATTTTGGGAACTCAATGGTTGGGGGCTTAGCTCGGAACACCATGTCATCTTCCGCCTCACCACCCCGGGAGTAACCAGCGTGCCTCCCATACCCCGGCGCCTCGCTGTGGTAATGCTGCGAGAACCGGTGTCCCCCTTCATACTCCCACTCATCCTCCTCCTCCTCCTGATACCTCCTTCTTCGGCCCATCTCATTTCTTTGCCTCTGATCACCTGTTCCTGCTCCCATGAATTCCTTACCAATACCCTGCTGATTCACGAATGGAGGTTGCGTGCCACTGTACTCGTCGAACTGGCCCTGGAGAGCCGGAATTTCCCTGCTGCCCGTTCCCACTGCACGTACCCGCTGCTGCCCCGGATCGGTCCTGGTTCGACCGGGTTCGGTCCGACCGGGTTCGGTCCGACCGGGCTCGACCCATCCGGGTTCGACCCGCCTGCTCGGGGCCCGACTCGGCCCAGCTCGGCCCGCGGGTTCTCGGCCCATGGGGCTCGGCCACCTCCTCTCCCAGCCGCGGCCCAACTCGCGCCGCCCCCCGCCTGGGCTGCCTTCCAGCCCCGCGCGGCCCATCTGACTTCCTTCCTCCCTGTTGTAGTCCGCCTCTGGCCCACTCGACTCGTTAGGCCAGGGCCCGCGATCGTATTCCTGCTCCAAGTCCATCAACTCTTCCTCATCCAGGCCCATTTGCAGACTCGGATCCACGTACTCGGCCATCTTGGCCTTGCCCCGCGCACGCGCCTTCTCCTGGGCCGAGGGGGTCGGAAGCAGCCCATCTTTGAATGTTGGGCCAAAGGAGACCTGGCCCGCACGCAACCCCAGTGGCCGGTTAGGGTTGACCGCCGCCCCGCCCCTCTCACCACGCCCGTCCGCCGCCGTGTTCGACGATGGCCGTGCGGCGCCGTGGTCGCCGGGCGCCTCCACCGAGGTCGATCCCTCCCCTGGCGCGCCGTCCTCCCCGTGCAGCTGGCCGCCGCCGCCAGCTTCGATCCCTGATTTCTTCAGGGCCTCCACCAAGTCACCCACCTGCCCCGCCAGTGCCTTCACAGCCCCTGCCAGAGCATCAAGGGTTTGGCCTTGATCCCTAGCCCTCGCCTGCAGTCCCTTCAATTCTTCCTCCACCCGCGCCTGTCTCTCTGCCTGCGCCTCCAAGTCTCTCCTCAGTTCCTCATTGCCGGTCAGATCCTCCACAGCCCCATCGACCCCGTCGTCGCCTGCATCGGCGCTCCTGTCACCCGCCTGATTCGCCTTCTCCGCTTTCTCTGCTGCCTTCATGGATTTCGTCGTTACCATCGTTGATTCTCCGGTTTCCAAGCTGTCCCTGGTGGAGTTGAGAAGAACTCACCGATCGGAACCGGGCTCTGATACCAGATGTTAGAAACAAAGTTTCTAACGGTTGTAGAATTGGGGAAATAGCTAGACCAACTAGGGATTGATCAAGCTAGGGATTAGAATTAGGGATTTTAGGAAGAAGAGAGGGGAAGGTTGGCTGCCGATCGGCCAAGGAAAGAGGGAGAAAGAGAGAGAGCTCGGCGCTAGGGAGGGAGAGAGAGAGAGAGATTAAGATTTAGGTTTTCTGTAATTGATTGTTTAATGACAAAATAACTCCCTACTGCAGATTATATAATCCGCCAAATGCCTAACTGCTACCCATATAATAAAAATACCCCAAATGATCCCCCAATTATCAAAACCGACAATAATACGAAATAATGAAAAGCTGTAAATTGTTTGTTTCTAACAATCTCTCAATACAAATTATCCATATATAAAACACCATTTTAGAAAATTCAAGCAAATCACAAATTAACTATACAAATTGGTCAACACCAATCTAGAAAACTCAAGAAAATTGAAGCAAATCACAAATTATCCATAAATAACATGTTTAATTGAAAGCTTCTTTCTTTCAATTAAGTTTCTTTACTCTCCACTCCATAACATCAACTTCATTCTACACAATTAAAAAGAAAAAATTAGACATGTCTCCACAAACATAAATAAGAATAGTTGTTTAGAATATTAAATATACCGAAATAATTAATTATATGAGTGGGCGGGTACCCACGGGCCGGGTTTACCTAAACCCAAACCCAACCCAACCCGGTGAATAGTGAACGGGTTTAAATCCAAACCCGGCCCAAAACCCGTCAACACGGATTTTACCCGCGTTGACCGGGTTGGGTCGGATGGGTACCCGTGGGTTCGGGTTTTGTTGCCATCCCTACTTATAGGGGTGAAACTTGGCCAAACCCAGCCCTGACCCTGTCACTACCAAAAAAAATCCAGCCCTGTATGCTCAAATATACGACCCGGTCCGGCCCGACCCAATTCTCATTTGGCCCTGTATGACCCTGTTGGGTCGGGTTGGGCCGGGTCGGGTCATAGGGTCGGCCCAGCTTCTTTTTATACAATATTAGTCCACTTAATTATTTAATATCAACTTAAATTTCAAAAAATTGCAGGTATATACTAGAAAATTTAAATGAGTTCATAAAAAAAATAATCTAAAATAAAAAAATATTTAAACTAATTCACAAAATAAAAGTTTGATTACAAAAATTCCAACTAATTCCAGAAAATTTAAGTTAGTCCAAATTCCTATACCAAAAATCCTAATTACTTTGCCTTCTCAAGTCTGGTTAATTACTCTGTATCTGTGGGTGAATCATCACCTGCGCATAATAACATAAACAAAAAGAAAATTTAAGCAAATTCTTCATCTTTTGTACTATTTTAAACAAGTAAATTCTTCATGGCAAATTCTTTTGGGGAAAGCCTAACAACCAAGTGAATTTTGATTGAACATGATTTATACCCCCAAAAGAAGATTACCTAACTCTTCCTCATTTTATCTCCTGGTCGTGAAAAGTTGCAATGTGGACTCGCTTAAACACCCCAACACGCCACCCCCTTGGATGTTGGCACTACTTGCATATTTCACGTCAGAGATGAAGCTCCTGCTGTGGGATGTCGGAAGGCGCTGATTAAATGCAAACGATGGCAGCTCCTGCAACAGCAATCCGTGTGTAGCTTCATCCCCAGACACAAACAAACAAGGCTGCTGCTGCTCTTTCTGGCATATGATGGTGCATAATATGCTGCTGCTGCCTGTTCTCTTCAAGTGGAGATGAGAACCCTTAATTCCTTGCCCGATAGCTTGGGAGGACTGGCTGACAAATGGTTGTGAACCAGTAGCAGCAACTTCACAGGATGGTAATGTATCAACCTTGGGACGATATGATGCTACAATGTTCTCAGTGGTTGGACAGTGTGCTAGAGAGATGCAGACTCCTTGATTTCCAAAAGATGGGTGAAGACATCGACATATATGTCTTGCCATGAAGAAGATAGGCAGCTTTCAGTTAAGTCAGGAATCAAGTAAATAAACAATAACCAACTTTTAAGTGAAACCAGCAATCAACTAAACCAGAACCGGCGAGTAGTTAACCATTCATCAATGAGACCAAAGGATCAAATAAATTCGGTAAGGTGCAAGGCTCAACTCATGATTGATCAGCATCTGCTTTAAGCATATAAAAACAT